ACTATATAATTATACGTTTTGTTGATCTATCTAAATCCATACCTTATAGAAACTTAAAAAACGTAAATTCATGAATCAATTTTTTGATTTGTTCATCATCATTAGTACACATTTGTTTTATGCAAAAACTTGAAATTTAAAAAAATTTATAATTTTTAAAAACAATACATTGTTACGAAATTTGAAATATACAACAAATAATTATTAACGTTTGTAAGTATAGTGTTTACTTTAATTTGTTTTTGAGATTATAGAGACGAAAATTAATAAGCGTAGGTATAAGGGTATAAAACCTGCCAACCTGCCTATATTATGATTAAATAAAAAAAAAATCGATGACCGAAAAATCCGTAAAATATATTGCAACACGAACACGACTCGTATTCAAATGAAATCACAATTTTGATTTATGTGATTTGAATACAAACGTGGACTTATTTAAAACTAAACCGAGATCGTTAGCGCGATCGAATATAATAATAATATAATAATACATCATAATACCTAATATATTAATATAATATGTAATAATATCGCAGCTTGTCAAATGGTTACCGTCAATCAATCGATTTATGACGTTTAGGTACACACCACACACACGCGCGTTATAAATGGTTATTAAGCGGACGAAAACTTACTATCATTTTTAAATATTACATAATGCGAATGTTCATTAAAAAGACATAAACCGGTATTAGCGGGCGTCTGGTGGTCGTCGGGCGCGCGTGGTCCCACTGACATTGACCCAATATTACACAAACGTAGGTACGGTATATTATGTTATATTTATACATTATACTATACATATTATACGAGGTGTATGCACTAGGTATATTATGGGCGCTAATACAGTTACCTATTAATACAGTTATATTCTTTCATTTTTTTTTTTTATTTATTATTATTATTATTATTCACTCTTTCTTTCCTCTCTCGATATGCTGCAAGTACCTACCCATAATATAATATAATACCACGCACATTCCTTTTCATTATTCGACCGACGCACGTTATTAGTACCAGTACACGCACGGTTTATGTAGGTATATTTCAATAAAAATTACACGGTTCATAAACTGCCTCCGTCCTGTGGACAAAAACACGGCTGTTGCTACACATAGATCTCTTCGAATCGATTTATCGGTATGATTTACGACCAAATTCGCGCGATGGGCGTCGCTATAATATGTAATGTTATTATAATAATAAAAACAATATTGTAACGGCTCACGAGCATATTATTATTATTATTATCATATTGCAGCGGTGTTTCACGACGAAAAAACATACACGCGCATAAATTAATAGCTAATGTAATAATATTATACCATACCCCTATAAAATAATAATAATAAATATGTGAATAAATTATCGCTGCAGCGGCGAGCTGCAATTCGACTGTTATAACGACAGCAAACGCACAGGGAACAGCGCATGTACTATGCAGTTATATTGTGTGGCGGTGAACCGACGAAAGTGAACTTGTAGTGAACGGGGCCTGACCTATCTATGCGGGTTCTAAAGGTATCTGCAGTGTTACTTAACACACGAACTAATATCATAAGTTTTTAATTACGCCCTGAGCGAATTTCGTTTATGTTTCGTCCAAAAACGCCCCTCGAGAACGACGAATGCAGCAGTGAAGTACCCGCCTATTGTTTTCAGAAATCTGTACCTGTGACATATTATTATGTCCTATAGATGAATTTAAGATCGTATATGGACCTTTATTACCTTTTAGATTCAGAGCGGCGTGAACAATATATTATTATGTACGTTCAGCCAGACCATTTTGAATTTAGTGTTGGTCGTCGACGGCGTGTTGTACTATTAAAGTGTGACGGTTTCAAATAATATAATGTGAGGGAAAGTAGGTGTTTTCAAAAATGTTTTCAAAGTTTGAAATACTTAAATACTTCAAATAATGCCGACTCGTCTTACATACTTCAGTCAGTGGAAAGTGGAGACAAATTACGAGTTACCTCGGAGATAAATGACGCCTATATTACACATCAACTATATAAAAAACCGTATAGAATTATAGAAAATACTAAGTAGATTTTATCCGGTTAATTTAACAAAAACGGAAATATCAAAAAAAAAAAGCGGGTAAGTGGATGTCGCTCTGCTGCACAGTAGGTTACAAGTTGGTAACTTGTTTTAAATTTGAATTCAATGATATCATATCATTGTATACGAAAATGTGAGTGCCTTTGTACTCACGAATGATGTGTAAACATCTTAGCTGTAGTACGACTTTGATTGGGGAATATAATGTCATGGTTTGAGTGGGAATTTGTATAATACATATTATACGATACAAACACGGTTTCGCGCGTATACTTAAACGAGAATAATAAATAATATTAATAATAATAATGAATCAGCCGACGACTGTACCAGAGAGCGTTCGCACCTACCAGACTCGTGAAAATAACAAAGAAAATAATAGATAAGCAACTCGCCTGGTTTATTGGTTCTGCGATTTTAGCGCTATGGCGACGACACACACACACACACACACACACACACTCAAGCAGTCACATCTACATGACTTACGCCTGACGCTCGATTCCCCAAGAAGGTCGTACTACAAACCGATAGCATAGAACGTTATATTTTTATATTTTTTTTTTTTGGAAATTGTAGTCTATTTTTTTGATTAATAATTTTATTTACAAGATAATAAATTTAGTGTAATAATAAGTACGGTTAAAGATGGTATGCTGTCTGTAGCCTCAATAATAATTAATAAGTAATAAGCACCAATCGTCGATACTAAGTACGATTCATTGGTTCATAGACTTACTATAGGACATAATATTAGATGATTATATTTTATTGTTATTGACGCCTTTGATTAACACTTTTCCATGAACTCTTTTTCAATCGATGGTTATGGGTAATTTAATAATTTAATTTAAATTTATATTTATCCATGTAGCTTCAAATGATAAAATATAGCCGCATATAGGTATTTATTTTTAAATTTAGCTCGTCCCTGAATCGTTTTATAAAATGGATATTTGTTTTGTGTAAATTAAAGTAAAACTAAAATTTTCCGAAAAAAACATAAATGCAAAAAACAGTTTCCGAAGTGGTAACCGGCAATATTGAAAAATTAAAACCGCTTCCAAACCGATAACAAGTAATCACATTTTTAGGGATCATTTTGGTAACCGGTAATCAATTATCACTAAATCTAAAAACCCCTAAAACCTGTAACCACTTACGAAATTTTTTTTGGGTAATACCGGACCCGGAAACTGAATTTTTCATAAGCGGTTTCATGCCCTGTTTTAATCTATCTTAGGGTTAGAAATAGAAACCAAAATCGTTTATATCACATTATTTACTGCATTTTAGAATTCCATTGATAGGTAGTGTTTATACCCGGAAATGTATGATTTATCAATTTTACAAAAATATAAATTTTATACATACTAGATTACATAAAATATATTTCTTATAAGTATACAAAAAAAACGTATGTGTAAAAAGTGAAACATTTTTTCAATAATCAACAACGTTTGGTGACAAATAGACTAGTTTACTATGATATATTTGGTTGACATAAGTCAATTAAAAAAACTATAAAGTTTCTTTATTTTTACAACAACATAAAAACATCATCATATTATTATATTAAGTAGTAAATAACTTCAATTGTTTTACTAATTTTGTACGATTTTGATGAAAGCAGTAAAATGTATGTATCACGTTTTAGTGTGCATTATTATTTGCATATAAATAACATAATATAATACTTATTTAGTCTTGTATTTTATATAGGAATAAAGTATACTATTATTGTTTATTGGTTTTTTATTTTCATTACATATACCTAGAATAAATCGCTAATAAACCAAAACTATTTAGGAAAACCATATGGTCAGCGAAACCCATACTCGATACATTGAGTATAATGTTTTTAAAAATACGTTTTGTATACTATAATATGCTCTGTGAACGAAACATATTTGTACGTACTGTTCTACAGTAGTAGCAGTATAATACATTAATATCAATAATAGTGCTTACGTATCTATTAAAAATATTAACATGTGTTGGATTTTTACAAAATGTAAATTCTCAATGTTTATCTGTATATTTAAATACTGAAATCAAATTCTATTAACTGCTAATGTTAGGCAATTAGACGATCAACACATTTTATCAAGATAAACCACTTAGGTATTACCTATAATAATAATTAATAATCAATAATGTACTATATGAATACTACAACATAGGTAGATACAACGGGTGAATGGTGATGCCGATACGCCCTATTATCCGATAAGCCGGATTTACAGCTACGTCGTATGTCGCGGGCATGGTAACTATGGACTTATAATAGTGGTAACCATATTGGTTTAAAAGTTGAGATGTAGTCAATTCTTTGTTTACTCGCTTGGTACCTACATTATACCACATAAACACATGACTTAGCTGTGAATTCGACTTGAAGCGTAAGATCCGCGTGGCACGTCAGACGAACCGCGGAAACGGTAGGTAGGTAGGTACCTAAACAGTATACCTGCTTAACGACTGTGCCAGACTAGTGCAGAATGACGCTGAAGACAATAACTCCTTATCACTCGATATCGTGTTTTATCATAATATATTATTGTAATCTCAACTCAACGCCAATAATATTTTATTATATAATCATTAGCGAGGAGTGTATACCAGATATTGTATACCGGTATATAGAGGTGTATAGAGGTATATTAATATAATAACAATATTAATGTTTGAAATAAAATAAAATAAAAGACACGGTTATTATATAATATTACGATGGTCAATATAATAGTATAATAATATGTCGTGTAATAAATTATTTACAAAATATATAATATTTAAAAGCGAGTTGTACACACACGACTGTTGTGACTCGCGGTTTGGTGTTGTAGGTAACGGTCACATTTCGTTGGTTTCATCGCCGAAGACGAGATCGCCCGGAAGTGCTGTTGCGATAGACGAGGAATCGGTTATTAGTATGCCTTGTATGGAGCTGGCTTGTAGGCCGGTGCGGAGTAAGCGGGTGCTGGGTATGCGGCGGGTGCTGGGTAGGCTGGTGCGGCGTATGCGGGCTTGTAGGCTGGGGCGGCTTTGTAGGCTGGGGCCGGGGCGCTGTATGGGGCCTTGTAACCTCCTTCGATTTTCTTGACCTCGGCGTTGAAACCGTTGTAGTCATCGGCGGTGTACTCTACGACGCGGGTGGAGCCGTCGGCTTCAACGAGGCTGTACGATCCCTTGACGTTGCCGTTGCCGTCGCTGTATTCGGACTGGCTCTTGACGTCGTATGTGGACGGGTCGTTGACGCTGTACTCGAAGTTGTATGGGGCCGGTGCGTAGGCGGGCTCTGGGGCGTAAGCCTTTGGTGCCGAGTAAGCGGGTGCTGGGTAAGCGGCAGGGTAAGCGGGCTTGTAGGCTGGGGCGGGGTATTGGGCGATGGCTGAAACCACGCATGCGGCGAAGATGATCAACTGCAAAAACGAAATCATTTGTTATAATATAACAATATTTTTATGATAGGCTGTAAATAAAACAAATCATAACAGCGATAACAGTATAATATTATATGAATATGACGCGCAGTAGCTCAAGTCGACGACCGTACAACTCGTCGAGTGTCGATGGCCGAGAGCGATAAACCGACCGGAGAATCATTAAGTCGTAGGTGGGTAAATCGTAATAATATTATAATGTTATCGCTACCACCGCGACTAGTCCGCGAGCAATGTATAATATTATGATATTGTCTGCTCGCGAACCGGACTTTCTCGGACGACCGAGACAACCGCGTTTTGTCGTTTTCGTTTTCGTTTACCTTAGCTGCCATTTTTGTTTGTGTGTGTTTGAGTTTTTCGTTACTTCGAGATATAACTCTTGACGACGAGATCGGTGACTGGTGAATCTGTCCGCGGCGATCGCTGTATTTATATGCCGCGAGTTATCGTCCACACGATCCCTTCCACACACATCGTATACGCACGACAATCATTCCCCGGACAAGACCACGCGTACTTTCGATATTATGGTTATAGGTACGGTATAGCACCGCGGTATACCTATTTTGCTATTATTATCGCTGATATACCTACGAACCGGTTGCGATATAGTATACGATTACTGCAGCGTATACCGGGTTATCGGTACATTATTATTATATCTGTATTTTTAGCTCCTTGCAACGATATTGCAGGCGGCGGCGGCATAAAGGGAAAATCGTCAAGGACACGTCGTCGTCATCGTCATCATCTATTCGGGTTAATTTGGTATCGAGGAGAAAAAAAAAGATTTGCGTTCGCAGTGCCGCCGACTTGCAGGACCCGTGGAACATATTTTATTTCCAAATGATTTAAATTATACGTTGTCTGCAGGTGGTTACGAGTGCCCGTAATAACTACAACAGCCGTCTGTGGTGTATTTATAGTATTGTACCATAATGCGCACCAATTACCAATAATATATACCTTTCGTGTGCAGCAATATAATATTTCGACAAATTTTAGTATTTGTGTGTAAAGTGTATGGCTTGTCATGAGTAATGATATTATGTTTATAGAACAACGTATCATGATTTTTAATAAAATAATTCGTTGAATGTCATAATGGTGTTTTATTTAGTAAGTATACAATATAATACTATATAGTATACAACGTGATAATACTAGCAATTTAGTACTTATTTTAATTTGAACATTTTTTTTTTTTGTTTGTTTTAAATACATATAAATACAAATTGAGGTTTGTTAATTTTGCTGAATTATTATTTCATTTTTATTATTATTTTTTAAACCTTCGTTATATTGTTGTAATAATTTAGGTATTGAAATCACCACTGTAATGCAATTGAATTTGTCTTATTAAGTATTTTAATGGAACGATGAATTATAAAAAACAGGTTGTTTTTATTATGAAAAATATTTTAAGGAACATTTTGACAATTTTTTATTTTTTATTCAATGATTCTAATCATTGTTAGTTTAATAATTATTAGCCTATAATAATTATCATTTTAGAAAATCATTTTATGAAAAGTGAGTTATTTAATGAATTTAATAAGAAAATGGGACATGCAATTAACAACATCTTTTAACTGGCATAGTCAGTAGCATCATTCAGGTGAACACACCCGTTATTATTAATTAATATTTAATGAACACCAATTTTGGTTACGAATTAAAAAAATTTTTTTTTGGTTGTCCGATATCATATTACATTAGGTAAATACCTACCTAAACCACTTAATATTAATTTTGTATTCAATATTTTTTAGAGGTTACGTTGTATTGTTGTATATGCAGTGAATTTAATAAACGAGGGGAATAAATTAATTTTGTCACTAATGTCCATTAATTTTTTTCATTTAGTTGTACATTTTTTTTTTATATTAGACTCCTCGTATATGATGTCAATAAAAGGTATATGAAATATAGTATGACCATGTTTAAAATAAAAATTGATCAAGTGGTGATTAAAATGGGAATAAAACTACAGCCACGGTCATCATGATAATATAATAACGTTGCAAATATAGAAATACCAATTTTTTTTATATTTATTAGAGCTTCAACTACTATACGTCTATACCTAAGGTTGTTTGCTTAAATAATAATTAATATGTAACATACTATCGTATATTATATATTTACATTCAACTTGTGTTGTATATTAAAGCTGTATACTAAAGCATTGCATCCTATTTTTAACCAGAATCCATCATGTGCGTAGGAGATAATAAAATATAATAGGTACCTGGTACCTGGAGGTACCCACTAGGTAGGTACGTGAGACATGTTTTAAATACGAAATATGATTAAAATAATAAGATATATAAATATTGTTAAGCAAGTGTCTATTAAAAAAGATCGATATCGATATGGCCAGGCACCAGTGCCACAACAACCGGGAGTGCTAGGGGTGCAAAGAACCCTCGGGCCTCCGTTAAATCATAACAATGTGCCCCGGAGTGGAATTATTTGAAACTTTTTTCTTTTAAAATATTTATTCGTTATTTAAAAATAGAAGGTTATTATATATTATTAACTTATGCCTAGTGACTAGTATGCATATTAGTTATCGCCGTGCAACCCTCATCGCCAAGACACGACGTCAACGAGTGTACAAAACGTATTTTCCCTTTTTGTAGTTTTATAGGAAATTACTAAATATTATTGATAAATCCCAATTTCCCATAATATAATGACTATAATAACAACCAGCCTTAGGTTTAGCATCTACACTGCGTACACCGAGAACAATATAATATTATAATTACATCAATAATATTAATAAATTAATTGTATTTACCATCGATTAGGATGTTTTTTTTTTTTACTAATAATTAAAAAAATATTATTTTAATAAAATATTTTATTACTAAGGTGTTTCAGAAAGTCGTATCTTTCTATCCTATTATTTTATCAAAATATAGAAACTAATGAATACATTAGAATCATTTCATTATTATTTTTCAATATTTATTATAATATAAAACAGAGTCCTAACTACAATTATAACGAATTAATAAAAATAATAATTTCGAATGGCAGGCGGCTGAATTATACCTCCAATATCATATTCTCGAATTTCTCAACTTTGCTATTTTGTGACGGCTAATTGGTTATTGCATTTAAATTGGAACAAGAACGGAAATAAATGGTTTTAAGGGCCACATACCATTTTGCTGCTCAGTCCTCACCTAACTGTGTACAATGACTACATTGTACAAAGTGTTCAGTGCTCTTTCACCTATCTGTAAGCGGTATTATAGCGGTGTACATTTTATTAACTTCATAATATTATAATGTATGTAACAAAATCTAAAAACAACAAGCATGAAGCAATATGTATTTAATGACCATAGTCACACTAAGGGGTTCTTTAGCCCCCCCCATCCCCCATAGTTGCGCCTCTATGGGTCCTATATATTTGGTCGCACACCCACCAATATGTACCAAGTTGCGGCACTGCCAGGCACTGTGTTGTTCCTATATATATAAATAACTATATAATTTTATTATTTTATTTAAGATATAAGTGTTGTTAGTTGATCATTAATATACCATTTTTGTTGACTGTACAATTAAAGTAGGCGGTGTTACACCACTTACACCCGATGCGTGGCAAATAGGTGCGCTGCGCTTTCCCTGTTATAGATGAGTTTAAGACTTAAGTACATTGTGTCATTGAATGTATGTATTATGAATAATTCTTATGTATATTATTCACTACCTACATTTTCCAACGAATACAATATGGATAATTTGGTTTTATTTTAAATAATATGATGATTTAAAGATATATCTATTCGTATTCTATAGTAATACGTATAATAATATATATTATATAATATAATAATTATATAGGTAGTACACATAAAATAATAATTGTAGTAGGTACCTACCTATGCATCCAACTAGTTTTTCGATGGCATATTATAAGTAGGTAATATACCTTACCAATCAGCAATTTTAATATAACGTATAATTTAATAAATTGATCGTTTTTCTATAGGCCATTATTTAAAGAGCATTAGATAAGTGGTTGTGATGTTGTACTAAATATCTATTCAAGCTATTATTATCGCATTATAAAAACGATTTCGTGTATAATTTGTGTAGAAGTTTTTTTTGAGAGTAATCCAATTTGTGGAATATAATATTTTCCTAAGCTTAGGCAAAATAAAGACATTTAAGTTATTATAATAATCTTACAGTTGAAAGTGAATATCTATCTAACAGAAAAACCATTTGAATTATTTAAAAGGAAAAAAAAATCGATTTCTGTGCCAATATTAGATGGCCAGACAAGAAAATATAAAATAAGAGGTGTGAGTGTAGACTTACTTGTTTTAGTGCCCTACGGGCTTAAAAAATATATTATTTATGTAATTGTATCATTATTTTATTGTGTATGACCTTTTATTAAACCTGAATTTTCTATAAATGGTATTTAAAAAAAAGATATACGACATTACAACTAACGAAAGATATATTAAAACTTCTGTCCCACGCGTCCATATCAATGTAAACTGGATCAACTACAAATTAATAATTTATCATTCTTCATAGTATGCCAACGGAATATTTGTAGCAAATTCATATTTATTTAGAAATTTGTAACTTTAAGTTTATGAAAGTATAGAGTGGGTTACTTTCGTTTCATCATTTCGATGGCAAAATAATGCAAACGTTACACATAACGCATGTAATTTGTATACAATTATTGTAAAATTAAAGAAAGAAATAATAACAATACTATAGGTGTACGAAACGACGCACGATTTGGACAATGTTTCTGGACAGTAGATCAGTATTTATTTTTATTTAATCGCAGTCCAGCATTTTAATAGTGAACGTACACCTTGACCTTTGTATTCTCAATTATAATCGTACATGAATATGATTTATTTGAATTTATTATAGGGCGTTCAATTATTATTATTCGTGACATAATAATTGCAAACAGTTAAGATAGCCTCAAAAGTACCTATATCGGTAATAACTACAGTGACTATAGTAAGTAGCACTATTTCCATTGAAGGTGGCCAGTATGATTTGGAGGTTAGATGCAATTGTGTGTGATTGCCATATAATTAGTGTTAAGTTAAGAAGTGCTCCCGATGAGTTATTATAATAATTTATTATTGTCAGTATTATCGTTCTGCAGTAATTTTTCGTTTAAAATATGTCCTAAGTAGACGGTCGAATATGGAAATTATTACGGTCGTTGAGGTGCAGATTTTATCCTTATACTCCGATAGCAGCTATCAATTTTAATATGTTTACACGACGTGTTATATTATATGCCAATACATGCGATTCAATTCACTATATATGCATATTATGTTTTCAAGGCGGAGATTTCGGATGATTGGTAAATAAATTGCATATTATAATATTTTATTATAGCTGCTGTTCGGGGTTATGTCGTGTTTCATATCAGCAGGTCCGAGAGTTCAACGGAAACTAATGAAGTGTGATCAGGGAGGTCATGTTATATAGGAATGTTACAGTCGTATGATCACGATTTTTTTTTTCATTTATTTATTTATGGGTTAACAATAGCGAACTCGCGTCATTGTATGAATAAAATATCGAAAGCTCAGCATTCATGTAATACTTTATTCGATTATTTTCTTATTGTAAAGCAGGTGTAAGCAGGTGGTTTTTTTTATTGTTTTATATTAGTACCAACGAAATATACCATATAATATATAACGTGATAACCTTTATAGTTTTGGGTTTGGTGTAGCGTTTCACTATAACAAAATTTTGGAATTTTATATACAGTTTTCAAAAAAATTAGACTAGTTTTCAAAAAAATTTATTTTAATTTTTTCTTTAATTTTTTACTGCTTCAAAACCGAGTCATTAGACAATTAAAAATCTTCACATTCACAATTAAATTAATATCTATACATTTAAGTTAACTTGAGTACTTCAAAATTTTTTTCTTACAGGAAATAAATTAAATAAGGTAATGTTTCTATATTCACAATAGTGAGTACGACCCTTTCATTTTTCTAATGGGAGCTTTCAAGTAGGTAGTGTTTACGGGAGGTTCTTACTGAACCTTCCATATTCACACTTGGGCCTAGGTCCTTTTTTTGATTTTATGTTAAAACAGTAAGTAGTTTCATGAGTATTAATAAACTTAGGAGTTTATTTGAAAGGTTTTTTTTTATTCTCTGTGAACTGAACATGTGTTTTACGACGGCGGTACAAACACTAGACGGGAAATGATTTATTCAGCCTTATAATACATATTATGTATCTTCTTCATCAAAAACATGTTGTTCCGGGTTTTAGTAAATTATCATAATTTGTTTTTATAACTAATTAAGTATTATAATAATATTATAAATTAATGATATATTTATTATTAAATTAAACATTATAATAATAATATTTTTTGTAGTAATTTTAATCTATGTTGAAAAGAAGTGTTTTATACATGTTGAATGCTATAAATAAAAAGTTTTAAAACATCATCTTTATTATTCTGAATGAGACATAAAATATATTTTGAAAGTATCAACTCATAAATTGTTTTGATACGCACTTAAAATTTGAAAAAGCACATGAACACATTAGTTAACCAAGATCCTTTCATGAATCTTCATAATAATGTAATGATTTATCATTGCTTTCAAATTTTTAGTATAACACAACACTATATATTATTATCTTTCGTCGAGCTGTCCGAAGCGGAATGAGTGCCTACCACACAACTCTTTGAACCGTATATATATATATCTACTTTTACTTTTTGTTTTTGATTTATAATAATAATGTAATAAAGATTAAAAATCATCTGTTGATGGCAATTTATTTAAATCGATTATTTCGTAACGACATAACATAACGTTAATAATATTATTATTATATATTCATGATACCTTATCATGTAACAGGTAGTTGTTATAGCTGTAAACGGTAAAATCTCAACCATCGACTTTAATCATTTTTGCCGATAATGTTTAATATTATTGTACACCGATCAACGATGTTATAATCAACTGTGGCTTTATCGTAGCAGTGTAAACGATTGAAACCGTATTGAACGGCAATAATAAGAGTGTATTTCTTGTAGCGGGTGAAAACAAATAATAAAAACAAGTGCGATTATAACGTTTTGTAAATATATATTAAACTATACATTTACACAACAATAAATACAGGTATTTGATCGTAAGGTGTTGTCTACGATACACAGAGATGGAAGGGAGTACATATAATCATATACTATTACAATGTAATATGGGTAATAAATACAGAATATAATAGTAATAATAATGATATGTGACTCTTGAGCCGCACACTTGTTGAACAGCAGTTTGCCGTCAACTAGTATTTGGCCCCGAAAGATTGGAAGAACATTTTATACAATTTGAAAAAATTGAAACAAATTAGTATGCCTTGTATGGGGCTGGCTTGTAGGCCGGTGCGGAGTAAGCGGGTGCTGGGTATGCGGCGGGTGCTGGGTAGGCTGGTGCAGCGTATGCGGGCTTGTAGGCTGGGGCGGCTTTGTAGGCTGGGGCTGGGGCGCTGTATGGGGCCTTGTATCCTCCTTCGATTTTCTTGACTTCGGCGTTGAATCCGTAGTTGTCGGCGGTGTATTCGACGACGCGGGTGGAACCGTCGGCTTCCAAGAGGCTGTAAGATCCCTTGACGTAACCGTTGGCGTCAGCGTATTCAGATTGGCTCTTGACGTCGTATGTGGATGGGTCGTTGACGCTGTATTCGAAGTTGTATGGCTTGGGTGGGTAGGCGGGTTCCGGAGCGTAGGCTTTCGGTGCGGCGTATGCGGGTGCGGCGTATGCCGGTGCTGGGTAAGCGGCTGCTGGGTAAGCAGGCTTGTAGGCTGGGGCGGGGTATTGAGCGATGGCGGAGACCACGCATGCGGCGAAGATGATCAGCTGTAACAAAATATTATGGTTAGGTTAGGTTAGGATACAGTTTAACGGAATAACGTCGCTACACACAGATATAATATGTATATGATAACTATTATGAAAGCTAACTCGTTTTTGTCTCTGAATTTGTAAGCCAATAACAATAGTGCAATATTATGCATTTATGATCATGCGAATCGATAATGTTTCTAAAATAATCGAAAATCCTTATAGATTTTCAAACAGAGTTTAAAAAGCACGCGTGAAATAATAAACAGTTAAAACGTGCACGTGTTAGCCGAGCACGAGTTTATACTCATTAACGAAAATTAAAACAAAATTGATATAGGTATAGTTTGTTATTAGTTTTATTATGCGTTATGTCCTACTAAAATTCCGAGTTATGATTACAAGTAAAAATAAAAACACTTACCTTAGCGGCCATTTTAAGGATTTTTTTGTGTGGTTTTGAGTTAAATAAATAAATAATTTACAATCGAACGATCACGAATGACTGGTGACTGTGACCGTTGAGTTTACACTATTTATGCTAAAAGTTTCGAATGACTTTAATCCCTTCCAGTCGATCAACTCCTTCCAATGCTTTCGATAGTATAACGAACCGGTTACATTTTAGAATAATGATTTAGCCAATAAGGCAACCTCATAACCGAGGAAACATTGGACCTAAGGCTATTGGGTTTGGTTGAACGATAAAAAGAGCAACCTTGAATTTTTGTCCATGCGGTCAAAAACAGTAACTGTCAGTGACGCAAAATTAATTATTTAACATTTTGGATTGGCTGATCATGTCCTTACATAAGCCATCGCGAAGAGTATATACCTAATATTATTATAATGAAACTCAATTTTTCATAAAACAAATTATGTCTCGACAATAAAAACATTTTATCAATCACTGTGTACCCGTATAAGCATAATAATATAATATATTATATTGTGCTACTGCAGTCAATATAGAAAATAGGGCATTAAAATAATCTCCGGGCCATGTATGGAATGACCGACAAACGGGCAAATAGACAATGTATATAATATTGAATATTCATTTAAATGATTAATTATGTAATATCATACATTTTATTCATAATAATTAAATGATTTCGTTATATGTTTTTGTATAATGTATATTATAATTTGGTATATTATCATATATATATATAAAAAAAAAATATTTAGCAATTTGTAATCCAACACTTAAAATAGTTGAATTATATTATTAAAGGATTGGTTCACTTTGTTTTCATATATTTTTAAATACCACACCTGATCGAACCCTAAAACGATAGAAATCGATAATACGCACCCATACCAAAATATTTTAAACACATAGGTATAATAATATTATACGAACGTTACTGTACTTATTACATTATTCGTCGGTCATATTGTATTAGAAAGCCCGGTGAGTTGAGACATTTTCAAAGTCGACGGGCGTTATGTAAAATGACCGGATTTTCTACTATATGCACTCTTAACGTATTATAAGCATAAATTATGTATGCACAATATTATCGGTGTGGCTGTACCACCGTATGGGAGTTATACAATTTTGAATCACCTACATACATTGTAGCAGTGGTGTTTACCCAATTACGAACATGATCACTAATTACGTAGCCAATTAGTGCGCATAAATTTTTATTTCGTGTTCATTGTGCCGGCGAAAAACTATAATTTTAATATCCTTGTGATTTAATTTCCAACGCTTACACTCTTTTTATGTAAAATAACTTAACAAATTGTCAAGTTCAAAAACTCTTCTGAGTGGAGGTCGGTCGAAATCGCATTTTACGAAATTTCTAACACATTTTTCGTCGGCTTTTCTTTTATTGTTATGCGAAATAAACAAAGAATGACCATTGGCCATTTTAAAGTACTATTCATGTTTAAAGGTAGGTATAGTTAGGTACAGTACAATATAAAAGTTTTTTCTTGTACTTATACTTAAACAGGGCTTAATCAAATTTTTGTAAAGAACACTGTAAGACAAACACTTTTCTCGCAGAATCTGGAAACATAATTAAAACAATGTGTGAGTGAAAGTTTGCTTGGTAGAATTTGATGGAATGTTATATTATCAGTTGTGTGTTTGACGGCTGTTTGATCTATACAGCAACAACAACTTGATAGAATAAAGACGTGTTGTAATAATATTGTGATCACTTACGATATTGAAAAACTACGTATAGGTAGGTGCTCTTTATTATATTAAGCAATATAGTGCATCAGACATATTATTATCGGAATCATTTTCGAGTATTCGGCTCGAGAGTTCCACTACGGCTGACATATATAAAGTGCAAATAACGTATTCCTCGAGTGCTTACTATTATTTTGGGGGAATTAGAGTTTTCTATGTTTTACAATGATATTTTGTATTTATTTGTATTAACTATTTCTCTGCAATCATTTTTGGGGGTAGAAGGACCGCACAAACGGTTTTGTTGAAATGGTAAAAGATCAAAGACCTAAAATGAAAGATACCTACTTTGGAGATGTTATTTTTGATTTTCTGAATAATTTCTTTAAGTCAATATTAACGATACCCAAGTAATTACCTTTGAAAATGTCTAGAGAAGATTTTCAAGGAACCACGCACGGTTTTCACTCATAATCTTTTTTGCTTCCTGTAGTTATTTGCGAGTACCTATAATATAGTAAAACGTAATAATAACACATGCGTCGAAGCGAGACGAGTACTGAACGCCTATAGACTTTTTATTTTAACAGTCTCGTTATGTTTTTAATTTAAATATACCATGTGGGGCGTGGGCATTATATTTTTGTAAACCTTAATTAAATAAATATAATTATTTAGATTAAGCCTAGTAAATAATGAATTAATTCAGTGTTACGTCCTATCATCATTAATATAAATGGCTGGTAAAATATTCAAATTGATAAATTAAAACTGTATAATATATTGTTTTAATTCAAGCATTGATCAATGATGTATTTAAATTAATAGGTACACTTGTTATTATCAACAACCGGTTTTCCAACAATACGATGCGCTTACTTAAAACATCCATCTTACAAGCTGTTTTACATAACAGAATAATATAGTAGAACATCAATTTTTATGTTTTGAGCATTTTTTAAATTTCATACGAACTTCGTACTACTTATAGGTACTAATAAGAATGTTGATAGATTATTGTTTAAAAAACATTATATATTGTGGCTTCTCAATGGTACCTAAAAAACATCAGGAATTTCATTAATACCCAATATACATATTATAGCTAGAAAAATATGACGGTATTAAATTTGAACAGCTATCCTATCTTTAAAACTCAATATGTATTGAATTTGCCTATTCGATACAATATGATGTAATCATTTTTCTTTGTTTCCTTGAATTTTGACCTAGGTATAATGAACAACATAATAATGGGTTTACTTTATCTTTCACAACTTTATCATAAATATTTTGTATTTTGGCATTGGGTACACAATGACAATCATGATAGTTAACTTAATTATTACTATTGATTTGTTTATATTTGAAAATTGATTTTTTTTTTCATATTTAATATAAATAAGTAGGTTCAAGTACCATACTATAATATTTATGGATTTGTTTGTTTAGGTAGTTTAGATTTTTAAGAAACACAAATATTAACATTTTTAATTTAGATAAACGAAAAATTATTTTAAATTATAATAATAAATCGTGGTTTCCAATGTAGTATTTAATGATCTTCCAATATCACATTTGAAAAATATAAATTATAAAATATAAATTACGGTAACAAAAATTATAAAATATCTGTATTATATGCAATACGCATTGGTAAAAAAAATAATAATAATACTTCACAAAGGTGTTCAGTTTTTTTTAAATTATACTTTTATTATAAGTGTCTTACTAATACGTTTTAGGTATTCTGTATGAAGTAAATAATATAATATTTGAAGTGGATACGTTTATGGTAGATAAGTAGGTACATTTCATATTGTTGTTAGATCACACATTTATTAAAAAAAAAATTGACATGGGTAATCACATCGTTTTAACACACTAAATCATAATTATTATCCATCTCTTTCAGATATAACGATGCCAAACGAAGGAAAAGTAGTATTTTTTACCTAATACGTACAACTGTGTAACATATTACGTAAGTCAGTTAACCAAATACAAACATTTGAGTTTATATTGATCCGATGCTCTTGAAGATGGGGATTGTAATTATTCAATTTACAATTATCATTAAAAAATATTAAATCTGAACAATTAATATATAATAATATACGAGTAATTTGTTTGAATATTATATCTGCAGAGATGGATACTTATGAGTGGGATTTTATACAAGTACAATAATATTATAAAATTATCATTATAATATTACATAATATTTTGTATATTTTTTGAAATTTAAAATTTTAGGTAGAAACCAGTTTAATGGAATTCATTCAGTATGAATGAATAATTCAATACTTTTGGAGATAGGACTACTATCTCTCAAGTCCTAATAAGACACACCAAGAGTGAAAAAAAAATAAACACATATAATAATATACCTATACCATATGTATTTTATTTATTTCTGAAAAGTGGGGTAACGTTTTAATTTAATTCGACTATTGTTATGAAATATTTTAAAAATATTATTTGGGCTGACTGCACGATACGCAACAATACTCGAATATCTTCAAGCTTTGAAGTTAGAACATTGACCACCAATAAACAACTTTATCAGAAAATATTATATTACGTGCCAGCCAAATTGAAGGATTTGACGTGAATCTTTTAAAGAACGAATTGATCTGTATTATAACGCATAAATAAAATATGAATGAATGATATTGTAAGACCAGTGGATTTGGACGCGCATCCATCACTGTCCAAAACTCTGAGGATTTGTTCAGTGTAAAATATAATAATATAAATAGTAATACTCCTCCATACAGCGACATCTAATGGAAAGCACTATAATATGCTGTGGATTTAATGTATTCGTCTAAGCTATCATACAATACGATATTATAATATAGAGCGGACAACGGTTTATTAAAAAAATATATATATTACAAAAGATTATGATGAAAGTATTATACACGAAACGATAATGTCTGGATGACGACGAGATGACGATGTGCAACAGCCGTTGGCATCATCAGTATTGGTACGGTTTGTACGAATGATGGATTGGCTCGTGGTAGCTGGTGGCGAGAGGTGCTTCGTAATGATGGTGAGAGGGAGCTTCGATTTTCTTCACCTCAGCATTGAAACCGTGTTCGTGGTCGGCGGTGTAGGTGACCACCCTGGTGGAACCGTCGGCTTCCAGGAGGCTGTACGAGCCTTTGACGTTTCCGTGTCCGTCGTTGGACTCGTGATGGCTCTTGATGTCGTGGGTGTGCGGGTCGTTGACGGCGTACTCGAAGTGGTACGGTGTGGGTGCGTGGGCGTAG